CCCCCATGTAAACCAAGCAATTACACCTCTGACAGAAACTTTGACGGGCGGCCAACTACTTGTTCAACAATTACAACTAGCAATTAAGGGGAATATTCCTGCGGCCTACAAAACCAAACTCCCACCAGAGGCGCCGATCAGCTGAGGCTTAATATAGTAACTCGAGCTCCATTCATTAACACGTCGCGGCGGTTGAGTTGAGGTAATGACCGGAAGAGGCATTGAAATGGTCAGCGATTATTACGCAATGGAGAAAATAACAAAGAATAGGAAGAGTCTGGTGAATGTTTGTATGGGCGTGTGAGTAAGAATAAACAAAACAAAGTAGAGCTCGTAACTCTGGCAATTGCGGCGATCTCTCATTCATTCACCAGGAAAGAGAGGTGAAAATTGTTCCTCTTCTGGCACCCGTGGTCGAGTCCATTCACAAATGTGGTGTGGTGGTGAGGGAGACTGCGCAGGGAGGCGTGGGTGGCAGGCGCGTATAAGACCGTGGCGGCAGGTCAGACTCACATGGTGTTGACTCCGCGGCCCTCTGTGGTTACTCCTCCTCAAAGCCACCACTACCACTACCACCACCACCACTACCACCACCACCACTATCTCCTCAACCTCAACCTCCTGTGCCGTGTTGTACCACCACCTGTTGTACCCCACTGCACCATCACCAACCATCTTCAACTCAATCTTACTGCTCCGGTCTCTGCAACAAGTTATATTAACATCGGCACCACTTACCATCATCTGAACCATACTGTAACAGTTACTCAGTCTACTACCATCATTTAACACTTCCAGTACCGTTACTCTACTGCTAGAAACATTACACCAATAGTACTACATTTACTGGTTACTGATACTGTCATTACTGTCACTGGGGTGAGTTTAGTTACATCTCACCTACACTACTGTTACGCCTGTCACCACCTAGACAGATATGCCGCCGTGACGTCACCAGTACAAGAAGCAACAGCAACAGGTAATGCCCGACTCCTACAGTAGAGGCCACAACCTCTCCTATACATAATCTCCCAAAAGTCTGTCTCATCCTCGACCACCTTCCCTCGTCCACTGAAACCTACCTGTTGCTCCCCCCCCTCCCAAACGGACATGTCTTTCCCCTTCTCATAGTGAAGTCTCTCCTTCTCCTACTAGTGGCACCCCAGGCCCTTCATCCTCCCCCCTCACCCCTGGCACTTACATCTGATCCTCCTCGGCGCCCTCGTACTTGCCAGTGCCTCGAGAGCTCACGACGCCCGCAGCAGCTCACAAAGAAAGATCTTCGTCTGCACCCCCCTGGATTATACATCGACGAAGGCTTACCACCAACTGAAGGTTAAATTTCATTCAGGATATTTATTTTGTGAAAGGCGATGGCTTCCTTAGGTTGTATGTTGTTGTTAGTGTAGCTGGTGCACGTTTTGTTCTGTCCTCACGCAAATTATCGGTATACAGGGGTGTGTTGCCTTAGGTTTATTGGATTTTGTTGTAGTTGTGACAAGAGAATTTGGGGGGGGGGGGGTCATTTACTTAATAATATTACAAAATGCTAAAGAACTGTTCCCTTCATTAAGCCGTTTTCTCTTATTTTCACCCCGGCATGATACACAGAAAACGACCTATGTGTTGAGAATTACCCCCTGTTAGATGTATTTAATTCCTTCACATGACTCTCCAAGATTCATCCGTTGATCTTCTATTTACGTTAGAGTCTCTCGGTAATGTTGATGCGATTTTGAACTTCCTTTTGTAAGGTTTAAATGTACCAGTTACAGTAGATACCTTCTTACATATCTTAGTCCAGCGTTATGATTGGTGAAATGACGTAGACACAAGTATACAGTATACATCGTTGTCTACTCTCTCTCTCTCTCTCTCTCTCTCTCTCTCTCTCTCTCTCTCTCTCTCTCATGATCTCTATATTTAGCGTGATTTTTCGTTGTTGTTTTTTTCCATTGACTTTGTGATTTCAGCAAGTGGTTGTGAAACACTTTTCTGTTAATGTATTTCTTCACAGTGTTATTTACGCTACATCACATCTTATACTACAGGGCGTCTTGGAGATGACGTGAAAACTTGTAATACTGAACATTGTCTTGACTTGTGGAAAACTTGGCATATCAACAAGTTAGGGCAGCTTTGTTGTTGTATTATAAGCATTCACGCGATCTCAAGCAAAATATGTAAGGGAGTGTATTTACATTTTTCTTAGTGTGTTTAATCATCAGATGAAATGAGCTGGAGTGTTTACTCTTCAGGTGGTCTTGTTTATGTATATTTGTCAGGTGTGGGGTGTAATTATGAGGCAGCCATGACCAGCTCCCCAACATGTGTGTATAATGGACAGTTTCACGTAACGGAAGGTATAAAATAACATAGAAATTACGCCTAGAGATTACCTTAACGAGGCTCTATTCACTCAAAGCTAAAAATCTTCCCTAGGCCTAGTTACAAAGCTCGTGTGAGTTGGAGTTTAGACACGTTCACTTGGCATTATATAGGAGAAAAAAATTACACTTAACACTTTCCTTTACCCTAGATACGTTCACTCAGCACTAATTAGGAGATCAAATTAACAGACAGGAATTCTGCAAAATATTCTGTGTGTTCAGTTTGTCAGGTGTTAAGTTACTGTTGAGTTGTAGTGTAAAATCTGTAATTGTTTTTGAAGTTATTTTTGTGTTTTGTTTTAAATGAATCAGTCGGATACATCTCTACGTCGTCAGTTAAAAAACAATGTTGACCCTGGTTGTTGGATGATTGGGGAGGATGGTAGGGTGTGGGGAGGATGATGGGGGTGAGGAGGATGATGAGGGTAGGAGGATGATGGAAGTTGGGAGGATGGTGAGAGGGTGGGAGGATGGTGGAAGGTGGGAGGATGGTGGAGGGTGGGAGGATGGTGGAGGGTGGGAGGATGGTGGAGGGTGGGAGGATGGTGAAGGGGTGGGAGGATGGTGGAGGGTGGGAGGATGGTGGAGGGTGGGAGGATGGTGGAGGGTGGGAGGATGGTGGGGTGGGAGGATGGTGGAGGGTGGGAGGATGGTGGAGGTGGGATGGTGGAGGGTGGGAGGATGGTGGAGGGTGGGAGGGTGGTGGAGGGTGGGATGGTGGAGGGTGGGAGGATGGTGGAGGTGGGAGGATGGTGGAGGGTGGGAGGATGGTGGAAGGTGGGAGGATGGTGGAGGTGGGAGGATGGTGGAGGTGGGAGGATGATGGAGTTGGGAGGATGGTAGGAAGGATGGTGGAGGTGGGAGGATGGTGGGGGTAGGAGGATGGTAGGGGTAGGAGGATGGTAGGGCGGAGAGGGGTATAGCGAAGAGAGGAAATATGGCGGGGTGGAGGATGAGGGGGCGGGGCGGGGCGGGGCGATCAACAGGCCTCTCTAACAGGTAATAAAACAACAGTCATCAAGGTTTCTAACAAAACAAGACTACTAAACTAACAGGTAGACGACCCTCGCTCTATGAACCCCAGTCAGCGGGTGCCACTTCAACAGGTACATTAAATAAGTGGCACTAAGTGAACACCCCTTAAATGGATCAGGGGGAGTGAGTGCCGTTTAGGGAGTGCTACCAACACTCACCTAACCTGTGGCACTATTTTATATTCTCACAGTTAATTTTGTTGTTGTTGGTGTGTGTGTGTGTGTGTGCGCGCGCGCTTTTGGGCTGTAATTAGTCAGTTTAATGTGCGTCTTATCTAACTGATGGATGTTTTTCAAGTGTGATTTATGGATGTTGATGATTTATTCGTGGTCATCCTCGTTCTGTTGTGACGTATTAATGATACTTTCTCCTATACTTTCATTTAATTTACAAAAACTCTAATTCCACAGATCACTTGAAGATTAGGCTCCCAGCTTATTTCAAATTAAGATTAACCCTCCACCCCCCCCCTCCTAGTACTAACCTAATCTAACTTAATCTAACTTCACTGTCCCAGGTAGCGTTGGGGTGTTTAGTCTTCAGGTGAACACACACACATGAGATCACTGGAGTGCATGGCGGAGGTTCCTGGAAATCATCGGGTTTCCGTGTGTATATTTAGCACCGGGTATTGTATCATTGCTGAATTTGTTAAGGGGGACAGGGGGTTCTTGGGGCGGGTACGGAGGGAGGGAGGGGGGGATTCACGCCTCGTTACACATGTTGTTTGGGTCCGTCTGTGTTTTTGAGTGTCCCCCCCCGCCTCTCCCCTCCTCCTCAGGTTTTTTTGTTATCGTCTCAAGAATTTTTAACCTGGGAGTTATTTTGGGCTGAGTTAACATTAGAGTCTTGGTACTGTTGATTAAGTTGTCCTCACCATGAGTTATTGGGGATGTTATGTCCCTCTCTCCCTCACCTCCCTCACCTCCCTCACCTACCTCCCTCTCTCCCTCATCTCCCTCACCTACCTCCCACCCTTCTCAGTGCGTATGAGAGGACACATCATAACTCTCGTTCGTCTCCGTACAATTTCAACCATTTTTATTATTATTATTTTTTTTACACCAACTTTTCATCTTTTTTTTATATTTAGCTCAGGAGTATTGTGCCCTTGTTGGCTGTGTTGGTGGGGAGAGATGGTTGGGGGAGAGAGGGGGGTTGAGGGGTAGAGAGGTGGGGGAGGAGGTAAAATTCTCATCTAAAACAGGTAAAAAAAAATGACGACACTGTACCCATCATAGATATTAAAGAGTCTGTCAGGTTGTATTTTTGTCTACAGTTCTGTCAACGTCAAGATTTACGACTAAAATTAATAGTTACGATTGTATCATTAATAAAGTAGTCTTCACCTGTAATCCATGTTTATTGATGTCTACACTTCCTTCGTCAACCAATAGGAAGCCATTAACTCCTACTCCCGAACAGCCTAAAGTTAAAGACATTATCAACAGGTAAATCAGGTTATTGTTTATCTAAGAATGTCTGAGGATAAAACAAAATATGAGCTTATAAGTAAGACAAACCCTCTCCTGTACCTTCCCTACTAACGCCTGTGTTTCCTCCCCCGACCACCAGGGTACCCCACGAAGCTGCTGTGACCTGGAGGCAGAGACGAGAGGGCGGCGCCGTGACCTTAGCCTCACACGACCTCCCTCACCATTATCACCACCACCACTACTACAACCATCACCACTATCACCACCACCACCACCACCTGTGTCGCCGTCATCTCCACCACCGGAGCCAACACCATGGCGCAGTAGAGATCGGTCTCCAACATGCAACTTAGGAACACCATGATTCTAGTGTTGGTGAGTATTGCTACTAACTCACAGCTCTTCCATGTGCTCTTTATTGATACTATTTAAGGGATAATTATCAGGGGGTTCAAATTTGACACGAGATTATTTTTTTTTTGTAACAGAGAGAGAGAGAGAGAGAGAGAGAGAGAGAGAGAGAGAGAGAGAGAGAGAGAGAGAGAGAACACACGTATCTCAGTGGACCTAAAAATAAATGTTACGCTAACTTAAATCACACACACATACATACACACACACACACACACACACACACACACACACACACACACACACACACACACACACACACACACACACACACACACACACATCTAAAATAGCATCGTACCATATATTTGAACCCCTCATATGACCCCGTAGTTGGATAATTTTACTGAAAACTATACGAGTTGGTGCCGGAACTGTCAACAAGTACACTTTAAGTTCTGTTTTCTCACTGTTGTTTAGTTTGACCAGTGTTGCCAGTAGCTATTCAACCAAACTCTTTATTCTATCAGTGTTGCCAGTAGCTATTAAACCAAACTCTTTATTCTATCAGTGTTGCCAGTAGCTATTAAACCGAACTCTTTATTCTAAGAGCAAACCTGCATGAAATTTGCGCGCTGAGAAAAAAACACCTATAGACAGACAGACAGATAGACAGACAGATAGATAGATAGATAGACAGACGGACAGAAGGACGGACGAACGAATACCAATGTGTAGCACAGGTGGGGGGCGCAGGTGTGTGTCCACCAAACAGGGTGAGGGACAGGTGGTTAATTAACGTACCTGTTGTTTGCTTCACTAAACACCACCGACGTTTTTCATTGGTTGGTCACTGTCTCCTCTAAGATGTTACTTTCATTAATGACTCGTTCGCTCTTCCTCTTCCTCGTCATCCTCGTCCTCCTCCTCCTCCTCGTCCTCCTCCTGTTCGTCCTCCTCCTCCCCCGCTTTCTCTTCCCCTTCCCTCCTCTTCTCCCCCTCCTCTTCCCTCCTCCCTCCCACTCGCTCACACGCACACACACCGTCCCGTTTCGTGGAATACATGCAGTGATATATAGGATGACTCAGTAGTGCTACTAGTAAACACACACACACACACACACATACTCACTCACTCACTCAATCCTCTGTACTATTGCATCAGCTTTCCCTCCCGCTCCCCTCCCTCAATCTGTCTACAGTACACCACGCTATCCAACCATCACCCTCTCTGTACGTTCATTTCTACCAGTTTTATCTTTTTTCTGTTTCATTCTCTCTCTATCTCTTTTTTTCTTCCCTATCCATCAAACTGGACCATTTTAACTATCTATCAATCTACCTTATCTATTTTATCTATCTATCTATTCGCTAGTAATAATGTATAGGGACAAATACTAACCATTTACCTACCTGAGTCTTCCCACCTGTCTCTTAATTAGCCCACATTGTTCCCCTCATTAACCCTCGTCGGCTCTGCTTCTGGTCAACGGCGTCGTGATTTTACAGCTGAACCGTGGCCTTTATTTCCGACCGACTGTGTGTGTGTGTTCTTGTGGTTTAATTGACTACCTGTTCATTAGCTTCCCTGGGAGGTATTTCACCTTGATGTTAATTATTCGTCACGTTAACCTGTCATCCTAACCTAATCTCATCTAACCTAACCTAATCTAACCTAATCTAATCTAAGGACACCAGGTAACGTCAGGGTATTTAATTATCAGGTGACATAACCTTAGGGTGGCTAATCTTCACGTGACTCGTCTATAGATTGGTGTATATTACTTGTTTTATTATCACTCAGAATCTTTTCAGTATTAGTTGAAAGTGTCCACCCCCTCCCCGCCTTTGCCTCCCTGCCTCAATAATTTTCCCTCCCATCTCCTCTTCCTTCTTCCAACCTCCTCTCCCTTACCCTCTCTTGCCTCCCTTCACCCTCTTCTTCCCTCCCTTTACTTCTCCTCCTTCCAATCTCCTCTTCCCTACCCCGCAGCCTCCTTCCACCTCCTCCTTCCACCTCCTCTCCCTTACCCCCCTTGCCTCCCTTCACCCTCTTCTTCCCTCCTCTACTTCTCCTCCTTCCAACCTCATCTCCCCCGATAAAATCTGCGTTATAACTTAAAATTTGAGCAAAAGGTTCTCTCATAAATAAAGGACAGATACTTTTAGTGAGGCGGACACCATTAATGTTAGCAGTGGGTGTTGGGTGTGCGGTGAGTTATTACACTATGGGTATTTATGATGAGGAGGGGGTATGGGGCAGGCAGGCAGGACAAGACACGCCCGCCCGCCCGCCCATCCGCCAACCACCACCATCACCACCACACACCAACACACCACCAATACTAGTACTATCACCACAACCATCACCACCACCACTACTACAACTACCTCAGTAATGTACGGAGGAGTGGGTGTTGATAGTAATGGTAGTGATGTTGTTGTCTCGTTATGTAACTTTTGATTTTATTGAAAGCCATTTTGAAGTACAGTATTCAGAATCACCTGAAGATAAAACACCCCACCTTATTTCAGCTGAATATTAACCGCTGTATCTGAACCTAACCTAACCTGGCAGCGTTAAGTTTGGTTAATCTTCGGATGAAATAAACTGAGTGTCTAATCTTCAGGTGATCTCAGTGTTTAAGTGTCCTCTACTCTTCAGTGCAGCTAAGTGTTGGTCATTAGCCGAAACTTCCCTCAACCGCGTAAAGTATCCATCAGGCAAGTCGGGAAGTTCTCTATGTTCATTATAGTGACGAAACCCAACAAGACTATACTGTACGCCACTAATATGAAGTATAAGAACATAAGGGAAACTGCAGCGTATATTAGGCAACCTCGTTTACACCTAACCCCTATTTCTAGCTACGTTATACAGCTCTACTCCTGTGCCTTTGGCCCTCTCTCTACACCCACAACTCCGGCCAGCTAAATACTTTACCGGTTACTAACTTACCCGACACCAGTGTTCTGTGACTCAAGGGCAGGCGGGAAGAATCCAGGAAAAAAAAAAGTCAGAACCTAACCTAACCTATTGTATTACTTTAATTGTTAATGGTATTTAAATAAAATTACTTTTTTTCCGAGCCAAATTGTTACTTTTTTCTGTGACCTTTTTTTTTTTCCTGTGACTTTATTTCCGTCCACCGGCGGGAGTTGGGCTGGTCAGTAGTTCGAGGGGCGCCTTTGTATGTGCCGCTGCCACCACCCACTTTGTCAGGCAGCCATCATCCAGGAATTCTTGGTGTTCAGAGCGGCGTGAGTCAGCGGTAACGTAGCGTGTAGCGGCCCTCAAGTGGTGTCCTATTTTGGTGTCTGTCACTGTCAAGGACGAAGCGCTAAAATAGGTGATAAATGTCGCATCCGGAGCGCCGAGAGTTCCTTTGTCTTCCCCCGCTGATGCTAGACGGCCCCTTGATAGTAATGACAAGGGGCAGTATGTCTTGCAATTACCCTTATTAACACGAAGATAATAATCAAGGGTAAGAGTAGATAATTAGTGTAAGTTAAGCTTTATCGTCGTCGCCCTCACACCAAGTGGCGTCTGTTACTCGCGTGTTGTCTGCCACACTCACTGAGGCGTGACACCACCACCACCACCTCCCGCATCCCCTGTCTCACCCCTCACTTGTTAGCACCACCCTCACAACACCAACCTTGTACCATCCCCACACCTCACAGTACCCTTCACACCTCACCCCTCACAGCACCCTCCACCTCACTCCTCACAGCCTTACCTGCCACACACCACCCCTTCCTTTGAGCTGGTTCTGTCTGTTTCAGTACATCATGTTACACGCGCTAAACCAAAATTTACGGTTAACAATATTCCTGAAGCTAATACCGTCGTCGCAAGATGACTCTCCCCAGATTTCACAATCTTCCGGCAGGGGACCAGAATCTATTGGGTCCTCGACTTGGATTACGCTCTTATCCGAGCGGGATTTTTCCTAGGGATTTTTTTTCTAGGGGGATTTTGTTCCAATATTCTGGTCTTATTAATCAGTATCTCCCCGTCAGTGCCAGCGTGAGTGTGTCGACCTTCTCTAGTAACCAGTTTACTTTTTTAAGATTTGTTTTAGTCTCGAGTAAAAATGTTCCATAAGGACATCAAACCTCATCACTCGGGCACTAGGCTTTATAATACGATGGCTTCCCTTACTACAAGAGTAACAATTATTTGCAAGATTATTAAACCCGGTGATGATCCCTCGCCTTGTTGGTTAGGTTAGGTTAGGTATAATCGTCTAAATGACATACGTCTCTTAGAGTTCCTCTCTTCCTTCACCTCATCTTCATCACAGAAAGTTCTCTCTCTCTCTCTCTCTCTCTCTTTCCATGCACCAAGCAGCAGCATCGTGGAGGAGGGAGGGAGGGAGGGGGGGAGGCAGTATTGTTTGTGGTGGCCATTAGCAGACAGCGGCACGGCGTCCTCCCCACACTGTTGTCTGTGATCGTTCCCTCAGCTACTGCTTCCTCTCCTTCCCCTTACTTTACCTCTTCTTCTACATGCCTCCTCTTCCTCCTCGTGGTGTGTATAGTGTCTTGGTGAATACAAAGGGAGACAGGAGTTTGTTGGACCAGAATAACATCTTTCGGTTTAGACTAACATTAGTCAAGACTCTCGTGTTACAAGTTGGTGGTGTGGAGTCTAGGGCATCCACGACCCGTGTTTCCCATGGTGGAGTTGCGGCGACTAGCTGGCTCACTGCACGGGGCTGGGAGGCGGTACACGTCGTGGTCTGCTGGTGTTAGTGAGAGGACACAACCATGTACACCACTACATAACGAACATTTGGCACATACAGACATGTATGTGTATATCACCTGTCTTCTTAACAAGACACGTGTATATAGTAGACAGACATGTGCGATGTGTTGCGTGTGTAGTCACCTGTACCCTACAAAAACCAATAAAACTTCCAAACACTGGCATTTTTGTAATATATTTGGTTGGGAGAGTCACCAAACATACTTAGGTGAACAAGATCCTGAATATACGAGCCTTGTAGCCATCAGCATCAGTGGCACTAATTGATAACAGACGGGGCACCGCGTCCTTTGTGTGGGAGCCGCCGCTCACTAACCAGATCTGAACGAACGACGCGGTAAACATAGCTAATGGAGGGAACACGGACCGCGAGGCTGCTGAAAAAAAAAACTTCCTGTTGTATTTCTACTTCTCTAGACCAGTAATCGCCTAATAAATGTCCTCATCTGTTTTTGTGGCGTAAAAACCCAAGTTGACAGTGTCGCGCATAAATAAGGTACTGTATATGATATCACGGTCGGAAGTCGCCAGACGGACAATAATAAAGTGAAATCTGACGGCGCGAACCTCACTCGAAAACGTTACACAGAGACCATGTTTAAACTCTTTCCAGGCCTCTTCTTAAATTCAAAATAATCATTTAATTTTCAAAGAAACAGATAATCAATGGACAGATCATTTACAAATCCAGTAATTAGCACGAAAATTAAAAAAATATATAATGACAGCTTTATCCTCAATAAAGTGCATTTTTCGTGACTCAATCAAGTAATGCTCGCTGCCTGTTATCAGTGATAAGCCGCTTCACATAACATTTAACAAACTCTTATAAATCGTAATATAATAAATTTTATATAGCGAGCCTTGCAGGGTAGTCACTGTAACTTCAATTTAACCAGGAACAAGTTGTCTACCGCTCAATTTATTTCACCGAGTGGTAAGACGCAGCATACCTCTCCTGATGAACTATATCCCCTCGCGTTTCTTATACATGTATATCCCATTTGGCCGGAATATGAGGTTAGGCGTCATTTGGACCTGTTAGTCTGTCATACCGCGACGACCATATAAATTCAGTATTCCCTTGATATTTTTAGATCATCATTACCACCTCCATCAGCGCGAGGAGAGACGACAGTAATGGCTTCCCCGCGCTGTCATGTCTCGCGGTGGTCCTGCCAGGTAGTGTACGCGGGCTCTTACCTCCCCTCCCGCGTCAGTACTGGGGAACCTCTACATTCTCGCTGGGCTCCTCGTGACGCCTCTGTCCCGACTCTCTAAATACACAAGAGAGTCCAGAGAAGTGAGAGCCATCAATGACCAGCATCGGACGCAAACTAATGGATGATTCCTTGTATAATATTTCTCAGTCCTTCGAAAATATCATCTCACCAGTACCTCTGACTCGTATTGAGGCGTCCGGATGACTTACTAACTATTGAGTCCACATATCTTGTCATCAGCGAGGTTAGTCATACGTGGGGAGGTTTATTACACACGGGGCCCTGTAAGAAGCTTGTTTTTGTATATTAGTCTTGTGAGAACCGAACTTAAAACGTCAATAGGTGGAGGCAATTAAGAGGCAGCCTGATTTAAATTGACTACGAGTACTGGAGCAACGAGGCAAATGATATTTATACCAACAACTATTATAGAAATGCAATAAGTTTTAGGTCACATGTGTGTAATTGTCTCACTTTTTAGAGTATTTGTGAATAGTTATCAATCTGGAAAAGTTTGGTGATATTTTCGAGGCCTGATACGGGGACGTATTTGTTTTGGACGTGAAGTCTTTCTCATGTGCGCTTTCCAACGTTATTTGTTCTTGTAGGATCACCTGACGGCTAATATATATTATTTAAGGTGTTTATCTCAGGTGGAGGAAGGTTTGTGACACGAATATAACGTTTTAAGAAGTAGGGCTTTAGATCCACCCGGAATATTATTAAGAAACTTTACTGTCGGATGAAAGGAAATAAAAATTGACCCAAATTGTGTGATGGTGAGGGAATCTCTCATTAGGTCCACTCGCCGCTCTACCAACAATTTTCTCGCCCAACACAATCACTGACAGACCAGCCCGCCTGGTGACCACACCACCCAGCTCGCCTGGTGACCACACCACAGCACCTCCCTCCTCAACTACCCCTCACATCTATTTTCCCTTATAAAGTGAGGAAACTTGCCTATTAATGTCAGCACCACCGGACATGGTGTACTTCTGGTGCCCCAACACACATAAAGTTCGATTATTTTTACAATAAAGAAACTGAGGTGACAGGTGAGCGTGGTGTGTCGCTTGACAGTGGTACAGCGGCCGTACCTATTTCCTCCAGGGTTTAAATGTAACTCTTTTCTCCCTGTCTACAGTGACCACCTTGATGCTATATGTACCACACATACACACACAGCCCTGTAAATGTATTCAACGCATATCATTATGTCTAATTCAAATGTAAGTGTGTATATTTTCAGCCACCGGCTGCAACTCGATTAATAAACCGTTTATTATTATTATTATTATTATTATTATTATTATTATTATTATTATTATTATTATATACTGACCAGTTGGCCAGTTTGAATTTTTTGAAAAAAAATACATAGAAAGTATCTTCATATTACAATCATCCTTATGCTGTCTGTGTGAAATATGTGTACAGTATATAGAACAGCATTCGGGAACTAACCAGTGAACACCATAGACACAAGACTGTTCGATCGTAACTATACAGTACATACAGCTGACCCCTGGGAAGCTCTGGTTAATTTACAGGGCACTGACCACCCCCACATATACAGCCCACACTATTCATCATAATATTTACAGTTTTCTTTCATTTGGAAATATAGTAGCACACGATAACGAATTACCACTTACATATCTGAGGGTGACGGAGGAGAGACCACACGAAAAATCAGTGAGTCAAGAACGTGACCAAACAAGCAGATGCTCGCCACACAGCTACCAGTAACCTGAGTGACACCTCCACTTCGTCCACCAAGGTTGTTTCGCTCAGGACTAGACCAGCTGTCCTGGGGAACCCTATTGGTCGTACACAACAACTACGGTAGTTACGTGTGGGTACGCAGCTCCCTCTCCCCCCACAGTCTTGGCATCTCCCTCAATAACAACACCGCTGGTTGAAGGGGTGACCACAGGGGTAACTTCACCACCTTACACCTTGAAGTAGATGGCGTATAATGTCCCTCAGAACTACTCCAAGAAAAGGGAGATTCCCAGCATGCACCTGTGAACATGTTAGCGTTGGCATGTGACCCTCACGTCCCAACATATATGGAATGTGTTACACAAATACACAGGCCCTGTATCACTCTGACTTAACACCCATCTGCTGTGTTTTGCTTCTTCACCATAATGTCAGTTTTACATTTCCAAAGCATTTTAGTGCGTACATTCTACCACGTTTTCCCCCCAATTTATTATGATTTTTTTTTTCAGTTTGTAACGCACACTGGGCTGACTATATGCACGTGACACATTATGACGACTTAAACTTTTTTTTTCAAGCTTACGTTTGGATACTTTAAACATCTCTTATCATTACAAATATATTAACACACCTCACCGTCTCTTCGTGTTGATGGTGGCTACAAGTGTATATGTAAATAGTTATTAAAGGTTATATATCACGAGTAGTTAAAGTTGACTCCTGTTGCAGGTGGTTTGGCCGCTGGTTATAGGCTGGGCGCGCTCTCAACACGACGCTGACGCCATCCACGAGCGAGCACGCCGAGCTCACCTCAAGAGAAGGTAAGAGGTCACAGGGAGAGGTAGGGAGAAAGGGAGAGGTTAGGAGAAAAGGAGAGGTAAGGAGAAAGGGAGGTAAAGGTAGGGAGAAAAGAAGGGAGAGGTAGGGAGAAACGAAGGAAGAAGTAGGGAGAAAAGGACGGTGAGGTAGAGAGAGAGAGGGGGGACGGGAGGGGGGAAGAGAGAGAGGGATAGAAAGTAAGTGATCGATTTTGGAGAAGGAATAAAGGGATGAAAGCAAGATACGAGACTGGTTGACAAGGGAGATGTAGTGGCGCTTCAGAGTAAGAAATAATTGCAAATTATGTCAACCTTCATTCACAAACACCAATAACCACCCCCCCCACCCTCCTCAAAATTAAGTCAAATATCACAGCATTACGAATAACAAATAGCCACCAGTCGCGTAGGTTTACACTCTGGGGAAAAAGAATGAGAGAGAAAATGTTGATAACTTATGAAAATGGAAAGGAGAGATGGTGGCAGATAAAGGAATATTATTTAGTTTTACGGACACTGCAAAGGTCAGAGGACAACTCACCTCTTCGGCTAAAAACTGATAACCATTAGTTAATTGTCATGACTCACAGAGGTGTTTTTTTTTTTTACTATAATGAAGGTATTTTTTCAGAGATTTTTAATGAATCATTTTCCAGTAAAAGTTTTTCTTAAGATTAGATTATATGTTAGATGCAGTAATGGTTGTTTATAGAAATTCCAAACAAGATTGATATTTTTTAAGAAGGCGTCGTGTTCCATATATCTCAGTTATGCTTCTTTTTTTTTCAGAATGCTTGAGCGACTGGCTGAACGAGGGATCAAGTTGGCGGAGCGTGAGAGTATGGCCGAAGAGCTATTGTCTCGGCTAGAGCACCACCACTTGGCCAGCACCACCACCGAGCCTCCTCAGTTCCGCCACAAGCGCGACCACCTCGGCAGCTTCCTCAGGGACTCCCACTCGTCCCACCACCAACAGCGCACTCCCTCACATCTCTTGCAGGAACAGCCAGTTTATCCTGAAATGCTGCCATATTCTGAAGCGTATTCTGAATTGGAGGAACTGGTAGATGACACCCGTCAAGATGTCGCGCGAATCGAGGAAGTCATAGCTGAAGTAGAGGAGGAAGAAGTATCACGAGCCGTACAACATCAGTTCCTCGTCGCTGGACTGCTAGATCAGATGAGGGACAAACGGCAAACTTCTCGCCCATCCAGGGAAGAGCGAAGACAGGCGCGTCAAAGAAGAAGAGAGGAGCGTCAAAGAAGAAGGGAGGAAAAGAAAGGGAAGAGAAACGAAAAGAAAAGGAAAAAAAGACTGAAACTTCCACCAGGAGTGGAAAGCCTGATAAGAGATTCTACCATTGAACTTCATGATGAAGATGGTGAGAAGTTTATTGACTGTTGTCCTACAAAGCGAATCTTTGTAAAGAAAATGGTAGGAAAAGCCCGCGATAACCGCGCCATGGATATAGAGGAAAATCACCAGCAATTTGAAGAGCATGTGTGTTTAGAGGAGTATGAGGGCAAGGAGTGCATCTTCCCGGTCAAGGCACTGAAGCGGGGCACTGTGACCCGCTGTGTCCAACAGTACTCATACTCCCAGGCTCTTACTCGTCCCTACCAGTCGAATAAGGACTGGAAGTATGGCTATGTGCAGACGAGGTCTGGATGCTCGTGTCAAGTCAGTGTCAAACGCAAAAATAAAAAGAAAAAGAGGAAGAGATGAGGCCAAGAGAACCTGGGTCAGAGCAAGTGCTTGGCCCCGCGGGATATTCTCATGAGAATCTCAGCACTGTCTCGGTCCCTCCAGTGTCCCTTGTTCTCACTCTGGTCTTAAAACTTGTGGTTTCTGCACCAATACCTCGAGTATTGGGAAATGAGACATTAGTAGAAAATATATTACTTAAAACAAAGGTAGTGATGGAAATCCAACGAGACCTGCATTTAAGTGTTTCAATTTGCATTAAAAGTATTGACTTAGCTGCAGCTACAGTGTTGGCAGCGACTGGAGCTGCATGAGTGCATAACCTGGCAGAGCTTGTATTAAGGGCAGCGTACTTGACGTCTACCCTACAGCAGAGGCTCAGGAGCAGTAGGGGACGGGGTGGCGGCCGCATGGAGGCTGAGTGGCCGCGCCCCGCTTCATCATTACCTCAGTGCTCACGTCTTGACGTGATGTACCAAAACCCGACGAACCGGGTCCGCCCGGCGAAACCGCTAACACTCACTTTCTCACCTTCACCTCTACTTCAGTAAATCTTCTTGAATCTCACAATTATCAGATCTTGTATTTATTTAGTGTTTCTTCATGTTTTCATATCTATTAACTAATACATGTACATACTAGAATTACTTTGTATATTTTGAGTTTGACATGACAATAAGCATTTCTTGTCTATTGTATCATATAAGATAAAAGTATATTTTTCTTTACTTTTATTAAGAGTTGTCATAAAGGTATTAACCCCTGGCGTGGAGAACCTGTATCTACTCCACAACCCCTTTACCCAGGGCCCTTACACCCACAACCATACCCTCATCCACAGCCATGTCCACATTCACCACCATATCACTACCCATATCCACCATAATATCCACCACCCACAACAAACCTTAGTACCCTCACATCGAAAAGGCGTTCCATCACACTGGTCAACTAGGGATCTTGTTAATCTGTCCCAACCATCTTTTTCATTGTCAAGAGACCCTGTGACCCCTGAACCCAAGGATGACACTTGCCCTTTACCACAACATCCATAAACCATGATTTGTTTATACATTAGTGCACACAACTATAGGACACCTTTACACACACATCCCTTTCCGAGACTTCTTATCACCTAGGAATTGTGATGCCAAAGGTCCCTATCATCTACAAGTCTCCATTGCCAAGGGTCCTTATGTCATCTATAACCCATTGCCATATTACTTATTTTTATGATTAACCAACTCTGCTACACCTGCAGACAAAGATATTCCAACGTGATTATTAAGGATAGTAATTAAAGCTTGTGGGTTTTCGTTGATCAAATACTGTGGCCAAAGGTCTATCGTTTTCTTCACCCCCATATTCTTTTATGAAATTTGTTGTCAATTGTGGCCACTTACAAATTGTAACAATGTTGCCACGGACCTGTGTTGTACTGCAAGCCATTGTTAAAACAATGGCTTATTTCCCATGTTCCATGTGGCCACTAGTCCATGTCACTTTTTGTCATCATGTAGATAGTTTCAGAACATTTTCCTATCTAAAGCATTAGTATGTATGGAATATTCATTATTTAAATGGCCAAATTATAATGAGTTACTATTGAGCACCCGTTTTCTCCTGGCAAGAAACCTGTGTACCATTATCACTCCCAGCTCAAGACTCCCGCGTTGTATCCATCTTGCCAGTAGATGTCCCTAAAGCCCTAATAAATCACCCTTTTGTCACTCTGTGATGCTTTATTATTCTATTTCTTTATATCATTGTTTCTTGATGTATCATGGAGTCTTTTTCTTCCCGAAAATGAAACGTCCACTTCACTTGTTTTCAAAAATTAGCTGTAATTCTTCTGTCTCAGCAATTTTGGAACTTTCACATCTACAGCTGTATCTACTAGACCCAGCCTCTACATCATTCATTCTTAAAGCAACATCCTGTAGAGTCTCACTCATTGCACTCTTTATACTTTTATTCAAGGTTTGCCACACTTTAGTTTGTGCTCTCCCACCAGCCCATAACTGTTGATACCACTCTAAACTTCCACCTTTACTTCCATTACTTACTAACGCGTTAGTTAATCTAGCTTTATTTCTACAAGGAACTTTAAATGTATTTGACATCGAAACTGAACCAGAATATGTCACAAATATTTAATTCTCCTACAAGCTACAGTATTGCATTTTCCCTAGACATTAGCCTTTTCCAGAGTAAGCATTTCAAAATTGTTGAGACTAGAGATGTTATTCAGTTACATTTTCAGGGCTCCCTCGTTGATGTTTATAAACAAGTAAATATGTAATACTTCAGGGAATAATATTGTGTAATCACCTGTAAGACCCGAGTGACACCAAAGGAATACACGTACAGTACATCCCATACAGCGTAGAAAAGACTTATGGTTCATCGAATACAAAATTATATCGATCATTAATGATTCATTACATTTCATTAAGAATAAGAATCAATCATATCGTCCAACGAGTCACGTCACACTATACTGGACATTAACCTTCAAGAAATTTTGTTCCTTTGTCTTGATGTCCTCATGGCTTTGTTCAGTACTTGTCTTGTATGAAAACAGGTACAGTCTATAAATTTCATTTCCCTCACTAAAATATCTTCAGCAATTCTGAATTTTCCTTATAAGTCCACATGTATCTGCTTTGTTTGAAATTCAGTGTCCTTGTTTTGTAAAATTTATTGATGTTATCTGTTTGCTTGGCTCTACAACATAGTAACTAACTAGGCAGTTTCTCCTCCTAAGAATTATGTCCCAGAAATAAATGTGCATGTCTTTCCATTAATATCCTCAAACCTCTATGTTTTGTCCTTAGTAATATGAATGTCACGTGGCATGGTCATTTTGTGTGCAATAGCAAATGTAACTAAAATTTTATGTGCCATATTTGTCTCTTTGTTTCAATCCAAGACTTGGCGCAATGTTAAGTCTTATGAACTTTTTGCCTTCTGTCTTCTTTCCCACTCTCTAGCATGCTTTATATTTTCAGTGTGAATCTGTGTCTGCACATCAATGTAACTTTTATTCCTAAGCATGTAATGTGTCTGTCTTCTAGTGTCGGTCTGTGATCCATTTTTTTTTCAATCACAGACTTGAGATATAACTCTAACATCCAAGTTGCAATTTAGTGTGTCAAGGAAAGTACTTATCATTTTAATACTCATGATAAAAGTCTAACATTTGCTGTTGAGTCTGTAAAGTAGAAGATCAACATTAGAAAAAAAAATTCTGTTTATGGGTCCTTGCATCCTAGCAAACATTCATCCATCTTGTTAAAAATTTAATGTTTTCGATCAAGTTTGTTTTAAGTCATAATTTTAATTGGTACAAATAATCCATGAGCTATTAAACAATTATAGTTGAGTTGCCTGGAGCGGATACTGTTGTCACCTCCTATGACGTGTGCAGAATTTGTCATCTTCATAAGATCCAAATCACAAGAATTTTTATTGGCCGGAACTATGCCATTACACTTTGCTGTGGGAACCACATATAAAGTAAATTAAAATTTAGTGCATATTGGATGTTGGTGTGTAAACCATTAATAAACGTACCCTCCCCCGCAGCCCTTCACCAGAATATCCTTCCTCACACTCTCAAGACCCAGGGTGCGTCACCTCTCCTAAGGGAAGGTGTGTGCTGGAGTTGTGGGGCAGATTATAGTTTCCAGTGATATTATATAACTTCTAAAACTTTATTTGAGTTATTTTTTTATCAGTGTTTATCCATCAATAATTTGTCTTGGCTTAGTACAATTACCTGGTCCCCCTTAACTTCAACAAATTTCAGGATAACTGAAAGTAGCCATGGCTTTATTTAGAGATACATAAAGAACACTAAATGATTGATTTTTCCAGACGGAATTCATAGATAAACTTATTTTGGGTTCAGTAGCAAACATTTTGATGGAGACTCAAGTTTAGTTTTAGATTTTTGGTTACAAACAAATGTCCCAAGAAAATGAAACATCCCAGAACCCATTCTACAGGTGTCTGCCATAGAATTAGGTTATTTTCATGTGACAAGATGTTGAGTCAGCTGGCTAAGTTATTTCAGAGATGCAGTTGTTTTATTGTTCTCTCGGGCTCAGAATCTATAAAAAGAAAATTATTATTTTTTATTTATTGTTTATTTGTGTCTTGTGTGCACGTTAAATTCCTTGCACACTTCAGTTCAGTAGTTTGATTGGTGAAATTGATCCAACATTTACCAATTACATATAATGTTTCTTAGAAATACAAGACCATCTTACACGTTTAGTCATAAAGAAAAAAATATTTACGTACTCATTCCAGTTTGAGTATGAGAAGATTCCATCAATTCCTTTGCGTTTAACAGAAGAGAAAAAAATAGGTGATGAATAATACTGCCAGTTATATAACATTCTTCCACTGTAGTAATTAGAAATGTGAGTTAATATAAAGTATTAACTTGAAGAACATGCTTTTAAAATGTACTTATAACAAAAATTTATGGTAATTTAGGTTCTTTAGTGAACTTTTGTGATTAGTAATGAAACTGACGCCTATAACTTACAAGCCAGACTCACGAACCCTCAGCTGAGCACACCTGCTGGTCTTGTCCACATACTCTCTAGGCCTGAAGTGCCAGGGGCGGATTCAGGGGGGTCCGGACCCCCCCTTTTCAGAAAATTCCAATAATTTTTCTTTAATACAGTATTGTACTCAGGCGTTTTTATATAGTAAAGGGTAGTTACTATTGACCTCAGAATATCTTCCAATATCAAGTGCACGTGGTTTCAAAATGGCCTTAAAATGCCCATGGTATTGGTCAGATTTAAAAAATAATAAGCCCCCCCCCCCCTAGCTGGGTGGGTTCGTTGTGCTCGCCATGTTTCCCCTACCCTACAATATTTTGGACCCCCCACTTTTGAGATTCCTGGATCCGCCCCTGAGTGCTGTTCTGCCAGACTTAAAAATCATTCCGTATTTACTCAAACATATTGTGTGAAATTTTTTTGATTTTAGAGTAAATCATATTTGTGAAAGAATTTTATGTAATGAGTATATTACTGCCAGATCAGACGTCAGTAAAATAAACAATAAATTTGCACTTACATTTCATTCCTTTATTTTCATCCTTCAGCTTTCATCATTTATTGTGTATATTATTCCATGCCTTGTAAAATTCATCAAAAATTAAATAGGATAACTATTCAATCCTTTGTAAAATTAGTAAAATAGTTTGTGAGGAACCTGCGTTAAGAAGTAAGCAGGGTCTGTGACACATAAGTTTGCATGATGGTTTATACATTGTCAAAATCTATAATTATTCTATGTTGGTTGGCATTTTACTGCCCATGATGTATACAACAAGTTACAGCTTTCTCATATACCAGACTAACTGATGACTCGTCTGTGAGGATCAGTATTAGTCAGTATAATCTAGATTCTACAAAATACAAGATTATGAATTACAGTATTTTAAAAGTAGTCTTGTCATTGACTGAATTTTCTGCATTTTCATTACTAAACTTTCAGCTATTTCTTATACATTACTGTGAGCAAGTAGTGGGTGAAGGCTTTAACTGCGGAGGACCTATATGAAGATCTGTTGGTAAGGTGAACAACACTTAGTGATACATACAACACGACAACATTAATAGCACTTGGAATAAAAGACATTACTGCCCAGACACTTCAAGAGGCCAGATGTGATGAAATACTTCAAGTACCTGGAAAATGTAGTCAAAGAGCATCAAGCTGTTTACGCAGGCCAGAAACAGTGCATGGATGATCTAGCATTGTATATAATAAAACTATTAGTCCGATATTTATGGTTTCATTGGCACTCACTTGTGATAACATGACCCACGGTTCTTGGGACAGACTTTGTGGAATATTGGGGCCTGGACACATTTGTAATCACACTGGTTAATTATATGAAGGAAATACAGATTGTCAGTCACCAATTATTTGTAAGTAAAAAATCGTATAGTTAAACAAGTTTCCCTATCCACTGGCATCTACTTCAGGTCTTAAGTATTGTACAACTGTAAGGTTACAATAAACACACACCTACAGATACTGTATAGGGACAATTGTGTTAATCTAAAGGCGAGAACTACAGAAATGTGACTAAATTTCTTACTCAGGGAGTGACCGAAGAAGCACCTCACTGAACGTGACATCTGCAGTAGTTATTATGTTCTGTTCCTTCACTCGGGTTGAAATTTCTGTAGTTTTGAATGACTGTAGGTGATATAATTCCTTCTGTGCTTCTTAGAATTATCTCATCTCTACAAAATTTCTTCTTTTTAATCAACTGTCATTTTTATGCTGAAACTGATATAAAAAAATTATATTATATATTGATGACTCAGCACCTCAGTTTAATCATTAAACAAACAAAAATATTCTACCAGAGTTCAATGTTGCTGTCAATATTTCAAGAGAGTTATCCGCTGATTCCAAGATTGACAATAGATTGCAACACTAAATTTTTTTTTTTTTACGGGGATTAGCCCACCCGGGCACAGGTCACTGACCCACATCAGGGCCCGGGGGCCAAAAATTTAATAATAATAATAATTCATAGTAAATAAAATATATAATAAAAAGTAAAATATAATATTGATGGTAATAATAATAATAACAACACTGTGATAATAATAAATACAAAGAAATACAAGAATGAAAAAAAATCAACAGTGAGAAACGCTATATGTATGTTGTTTGTCATGTAAGAGAAACAATTGAGACCCTACAATTGTGTGTAAATGAGGCAGAAAGTCAGATCAGCAACCAGGGACTTGGTCACAATTTTCGTGATGCGATATGGCAGCAGGGTCCACCATTAGACAACACATTAAAAATTAACTTTAAATTTTAGAAAAAAGTTAAGATCAGAACCTGCATATAGTGGAGGTTTGAGAAATTTACACCATCATAAAAGTACTGCACTGTCAGTGTTAATTGCAATCCTTGATAAACATCACTAAAACACAAACAAGGATTAGATGGAAGCTGTGTCGTAGTGAAGAGGATAAATTAAGTAGTATTAATCACACCTGAATTTAAACCAATTAGTCAGGGAGCAAGAAAGAATTAAGAAGTTAAAGAGAAGCTTGGAATAACTACATAGTTTTGAAGAATTAAAAAAATTAAACTAAGGTTAAATTCTCTGTCCTGCTCTTCAAAAGTGTAATTCTCCCCGTGAGAATACCAATTGATTGAGAGATTAGACCATCTTAAATTACGTAAATTATACTAAATACAAGCAAACAGGTGATTTAAGAAAATTGTATGAACACCTCAAAAGACATTACTCAGTCAAAATTCAAATTCAAATTCAAAATATTTATTGACAAATACATCAAAAGGAGCTGGTTAGCATGCTAACTAGCCCGCCCAAAACTACTCTTAACAAGAGCTCTTTAATATTGTACATAATCATAAATCAGATATGTATACAACAAATAGATATGCATAAAATGTCCAATCTTATGTTAAACTTACAGAATTTTTTCATAATATTCTTGACCATATTTTTGTTTATTAAATAACAAACCATCTCTGTAATATCAGTAACACCATCACCCCTAAATTCTGATAAACAGTTACATTCCATAATGTAATGATATAATGTATGGTACATAGCCACACAGTTTACAGGGAATGCCATCACTTCCTTCAATATTTTGCCAATAATATCTGTATCCAAAACGTATTCTCATCACAAATGTATCATACTTAACCGAAGCCTTACCATAAGTAGAACTTGTAGAACTCAAAACTCGAACATAATGTTTCAAACTACTACTGCCGTTATTCAAAATGAATGAAAAGATGCTGGAATATCATCTTTGATATAAGTCGTCAAACCTCTACAATTTCCAGTCACATCAGCTGGCAATTCAAAACTTTGATAACCTCTTAGTTGCAAAGATATTCCGTTTGTCCCAACCTCTTGCAAGGCTATAACATCAATACTACTAGAATGACATATGCATGAAGATCCATTAACCTTTTTTTTTTTTCAAACTATTAACATTCCAGGAAATTAACCTGACATTATGATCCATTAGATAAATTTTCTCCCTCATATTCTTCACCGAAATAAGAACATTTTTTTTTACTTCGTCCCTTGGATTTTCCATTTATTCCAAAACAGAGTCAAGAAGCTCGTCAGATCACCAAGCATTTCCTTGTTTACTACATTCTCTTTAGAAACCGAACCAACTTTATTTCCTAACAGACAATGATTACCATTTTGCTCTAGATTGCTATCCACAATAACATTATTTGATTCCATTTTCCTTTAAACTATCTTCATTAACAACAGCAACATCACTATATGGCACAAGATTCACCAAGCATTTCTTGATATCTAATACTGCTTGTTTGAGTTCATCAATCTCCTTACGCAGTTCTACTAGAATGTTAGGGCTATAAGGTTATTGCCCCCATTACCTATGTCCTTCTGTGCTGCTGCATTAAGTATTTCCATACGCTTTTCCCACACATTTACAGCACTTGATGTCCCTGCAACATCGCTCCTTACAGCATTTCCTTTATCCTCTTGTTTAGTGGACTGAGCTCGTGATTGCAATTGATGAACTTTCGGTTTTTTAGGACACACCCACGAGCTGGCATTGAGTCCCCCCCACAATTACAGCATTTTCGTGTAATTTTCTCCTTCGCCTTAATTTTATCTCCACATACCTTAGATTCATGCATTTTTCCACAGAATCTACATCGAAAATCATTTTGGCATTTCCACGCCATGTGCCCCCACTTGTAACACTTATAACATATTACTGGAGATTCGTTGTAGACAGCAACCTCCTTATATACCAAACATCTCACAAAGACCTTCTCTGGCGCTGAACCTTTGATTGGCGTAATTAGCTGCGGCTTAGGTACTAGTTCTCCATCAAATCTAATTACACGTCTTTTGGCCCAAATAAATCTATCGTCAACCAACAGATCCTCGGGGTCAAGGTAAACAGGATAATCAAAAAGAATGATCTTAGTACGCTTCCCAATGGATTCCACAGGCTTTTCCATCACTACATTCTCAAAACCTTCTGTAGTTAAATATCTAACTGCTTCCTCATCCTTCACAGTAATATAAGGAATGTGTTGACCTTCTTTAAAGAGCACTTGATACCCTTGATGGCGCTTAGTGAGTCTAACTGACCACTTTACCTTATCATGAAAATCCACGCCATTATTCTTGGGGAAGTAAAGACGTGGCCTCCTTGATGAGTTGCTGCCATCTACGCCATCAGTGGGGTTTACACTCGTTGTACTGATCATGGTTGAAGAATGACTCACACCATCAATTTTCTTTCGCTTATCCACCAAGTGGGAAATGTTATCTTCTCTGCTTGTACCATCTCTATTCCTTCTTTTATTCTTGTTTTTACTATTAACAACTTTAAATGGCTCTTGTTCTTCACATTCACTGCTACTAGACTGCTCCAAATCCGTCAACAGTCCCCCAACAGTACCCTGGGCTACATTGCTGTGACTGCTATATCCACCATCCAATTCCGTCAATGTATTAAACGACCTGCTCCTTGAAGCTCTTCCGCCAGCCATGACCGTGCGTGTCCAGCCAGGAAGGTGTAGGAGAGCGACCTGCACGTCCGACCAGTACAGCCAACGTTCCAGAAGTGTGCTCCTCGTGTAACGAGGATGGCTGGCCCAAGGGCCAACACAACAACCACACCCTAAATTAAGGAGTCGCATGACCCAGTATCTAGGAATAGTCCGAGAAAACCGGACAACTCCGCTGGCTAACCATTACCCCGGAACACGATCTGCAAATCGATTAACATTCAGGTCCCCAATTACTGCTGGGTAGACAGAGGCAAATGGCGTAAAGAAACTTGCCTATAGTTCACCTTGCCCGTGGATCGAACCCAGGTCCACACTGACCATGCTGACCATTACACCATAGGTGTATATAAATGATATGGCAGAGGGCAGACAGATAGACAAAATGACAGAGTATTTTATATATAACTGATATACATGCCGACAGAGGCTATTACAGTATACAGACAGACAGACAGACCTCCTGTCCCTTATCCACTAGTTCATTGCCATACCTAAATACACTTTTGAATCCTTCTATTCACCCAACTCAAGAATTTCCAAAAGGTTGATACTTAATTATTGAAGAACGTCATGAAGACATGTGAACGATCTTTGTATTTAAATCCTAATATTTTATTCTCACAATGGTCTTACTAGTTCGTTGTCAATATACAGACTTAAATCCTTTTCACATTTGACCTAAGTTAATGTTGTTTCGTGGTCAGGTTGGGTCATGTGATACTTCTCCTTACTGCTGGTCTTCTATGAGCTTAACCGTACAATATACATACTCTAATATTTAAGTCTTATTCAATTTGTAAGTCTATCTCTTAAAGTATTATATTATTCCATCTACTTTTATCATTTTAGGTCGTTTTATTTATGCATTAAAGTTAGTTATTTGACATTTCATCTTTATCTCAGTTTTTATTTATATTTACTTTGATACAGTATATACTTTATTATTAAAGCTGATTTTTTACATACGTCATCTAAGCATAAAATATGTTATCATAAAATATAGCTTCTGAACATTTCCCTCTGTTTAAACTCTTTAAATTTTGCTTCATTATACAAGCACTCACGAGCTTTCAGAGGCGACCCTATGGAAAAGAATTTTATCGAGTTATCCCCTAACAGTGAACTATTTACGTTTTCTGTAATGTTCAAATATTTCCGTTTTCTGTCAGAATTGATTTCTGAGACGCTAGAAATAGTCTTGTAAATTGTAGATTATAATACATATCTGTCACCTGACATATGTATAGAATGTAACAAGTGTAATGCTATTTAATAAAAAAAATACATATTTCATATCAGTTAGATATTGTTGTGTATTAGATGTTTGTATTTTTTTTAATGTGCTCCCCCCTGACCCTTCCTGTAACGTGTGATCAACCACAAAACACCGTAATAAATCTTAATGTTCCCTCAGTCAACTTTTAGTACTGTACCCCTCACCTTAAATTGTCTCTTGACAATATAATCTGTTGAGATGAACCTTAAAACCTCCTGCAGCTCTTAGTGTAAGGTACCACTCTAAAAAAAACGGGCCTCAGACTATTAGTACTTTACACACTATGCTCTTCAAGCTCACCGGTGTATAATTATTTGTGGAGTGGCGATCTCTCTGTTTGAATATAGAACTCACATATTTATTTATTCTAATAACAATTTCTCAGGACAACCAGCACTCTTCTTACATCAGACCCAAGCGGGAATCGAACCCTTATAGTAGGCTAGTATTGTGAGGTAAGAAGTTAACAATTATTTGGACGATTCAGTAATTTTTACCGTCAACCTTGAAGTAATTCCAGTATACCAAGGACTGTTATAGTTCTTAGTTTAATAAATACATTATACATTCATTTTATGTAACTACGTTTTGTAAGGTTATAACGGGGGAGAGTCTTGGCTGGTCTCCCTCTGACGTCACTCAGAACCGAATCTTGATTTTTGTTATTTTTCAGGCTTCTAATTCTGAAAATCGCATAGTAAACATACTCTTTGGCACAGACGTTACATTCAACTATTAGTAAAGCATAGATTATATATTTAATATTTCAAATGCTAGAAAATACACAAGTGAGAAAGTTATTTAACGCACATATGTCGTTTTGGTTCTAGAATGAATCTGATATAAACACTTTTGAAACAGTAAATGTTTATATTATTATTAAGTTTAGTTATTTATCTGTTTTAATCATAATTTTTTTTCATATTTTATTATGATATATTATTTATCTGCCATAGATAGATACATGACAAAAAAGGATATAAATACAAAAAAATATATACTTAAAATAGTAAATTTATTATGTGAAAATCTTTTAACATCAAGTTTCAAGGAAAGCAATGAAAGTAAAGTAATATATCCATAGGTTGAAGTGTAGAATTGTAGAGGTTTGTTGTGTAAGGGCTCAATTGAAGGCCAGCCAGACGTACTTGTTGCCAACTACGTCTTGCACTGCAGGTACGGGTGTTAGTTGTACCAGTCTATACGAGGAACCTAGCGAATCAAAATGGCCCTGTCTAGCTCCCTCCTCCGTTCCCTGTGTTTAAGAACAGTTCCTCAGCTGGTGACAAGAAGCCAGAGTTCTGTAGCAGCGCCACAGCCAACCCAACAGAGTACAAGTATCCTTTTTTGACGGTGTTGATGATGCACTGAGCTTACATATTGCAACATTACGTAAGGCTAACTATCACACTGTTGAACCTGCAATTCAGTCATTAAGTTTGGTTTAGAATTGCCAGTCAATTGATATTATGAAGACGTGATTTGTGTGACATTTTCTTATCATTAAGGTTGGGGTTAAAGGTACAGTGCACTTTGTTACTCATTATGATGTGCTCGTTTCTGTTATGTATTTTAGTTCAGTGGAGCAATTAATTGGTGTTACTGTAGTAAATGGTGTAGCGGAATGTTTACAGTGTGCTGTCTACCAGTATATTTACACTATAGCTTGTGATCTGGTATTATCTTTTTGGTCATCCAGCAAATTTATGGATTTTATGTTTTGGAATCCGTAGTTCAGACAATTCCAAGACTCATTTCTTCTGTAGCATTTCTTTCGCAAATTTGTGACCAATTTTTACCGGTTAGGTTGAAATTATGTTTTGCCAATGTTTTTTTTTTTATGTTTTGAATGATTCTGACCTTCATTTCTATTGCAAATTACTACTTTTTGTAATTTTTCCTCACCCGAAACCCATGGTTCCCACTGGGAGTCCCTCATTATCGTTGGATAAGAGGGGTAGCTCAAAAAGTAGATTGTGGTTGAAAACTATTTATGTACGTACTGTATACTGCACTCTATAATTGTATTTGTTAGGTTAGGTATTACTGACCTCATTACCTGTGGCCATGGTAGGTAGGATTATCCCTAAGCTTACCAGGTTAATGAATGCTAGGTAGACCGCATTATACGGTGTAAATGCCCTGGTAGACCGGTCCGACTAATTACCCAAATGTACCCAAATATAGCCGCAATGAAGTCAAATAATGGTCCTACATGAATAAATCGGACTGCTAATCACTTCTTGACTAGTATTTGGTGTCAGAAAGTCACAAAAAATTTGAAAACTTACTTTAATCTGAGTTAATAGATCGCGTGCGTGTACCGACGGAGCGAGGAATTACCCAAATGTACCCAAATGTAGCCGCAATGAAGTCAAATGTTGGTCGTACAAGCGTAATTCAGGCTGTGAATCACTTCTCGATTATTATTTGGTGTCATAAAGTAAAAATAAATTGGTAAACTTAATTTAATCTGAGTTGTTGTGTTAGGTTAGGTTGGATTAGATTAGGTTAGGTTAGGTACATGCACTTGAACTATTAACTCAGAATAAATTAAGTTTACCAATTTTTTGTGACCGTCACACCAAATACTAGTCGAGGTTAGGTTAGGTTAGGTACAAGTACTCGATCTATTAACTCAGATGTAATTAAGTTTACTAATTTTTTGTGACTTTGTGACACCAAATACTAGTCGAGAAGTGATTGGCAGTCCGATTTATTCATCTAGGACCATTATTTGACTTCATTGCGACTACATTTGGGTAATTCCTCGCTCCGTTGGTACATGCACGCGATCTATTAACTCAGATTAAAGTAAGTTTTCCAATTTTTTGTGACTTTCTGACACCAAATACTAGTCGAGAAGTGATTGGCAGTCCGATTTATTCATCTAGGACCATTATTTGACTTCATTCCGGCTATGTTTGGGTACATTTGGGTACATTTGGGTAATTAGTCGGACCCCTGGTAGACTGCTCTATAGACTACATACTACAGGTATAGTAGTACCAATTAATTTTTCCTATTTTCAGATTTAATTAGGTTTGGTGGCTCCTGAGTAAAATAGCTTCAGATGGCCATTTTGATTTTTTCTAGCAAAAACTTAGTTTTGTAAATTTGGGGTAATACCTGTACTTTGAGACTTGTGCACCAAACATCCCATTTTCAACCAGTATTTTGTTGACAACTTTATTACCTTGAATACATTACATAACTGGAGTTTTTCTCGTTATAAAAAGATGGATTTACCTCGGCCATTTCTAGTTGACACAATCTGTGGCGCTTGATCTATTGTTTCCAAACAAATGCTTCCAGTGACAGTGTCTTACACGTGTTTAAAACCACAACATTATTTGATAAACTATAGGAGATTAAACAAACCTACCTAACCTTACTTAATGGTTATGTAAGAGATTGTATATAGGGTAAGATTGGTCAGAAATTATGGTAGTTTAGAATCCTTGATTTTTCAAAGGAAGTTTGTTTTATGAATTGTATACAAATCTGGATCCTTGTGATGTTTAAATTCTTTTTTTTTTCCACATCTGTCCTTTCTACACTAAAATATTTTGGCAATGTAAAATCATAGCTCTGAATTTTGTCTGATTTTGCAGGAATGAACCACTGACTGACCTTGTTTGTGTCTTCGACACTCAGCTGTTTTTTTAAGTTGCTGAAATGTAAATGTGTAGGTGATGGTGTAGGGAAAATAAAATATGTATGCCTGAGAAGGTTACAGATTTTTAAGTTACAAAAAAAAGCCTACAGTGAATAAATTGTGGTTCTTATCCAATTATTGAGACAGCAACCCTTGTCAAAAATAAAACTTCTTATTTTTGCATCATAACCACAAATAGAGGTGAAATGGCACAACGACACACTTGTTTGTGGCTAAGAATTTAGATTTATTCAATGATATTGCCAATCATACATAGTACTGTATTTGTTTAAAAGTAATTAAGTAGGTTACCGTGATAATACATAGCTCTATAAGCAGTGTACAACCATACTACGCACTGGCACAGTCTTATTGGCTCATTTATTCTTATTTAGATCTATGACATTAGTGAAGCAAGGCTTTTTGAAATGGCCACACATGTTATTATTTGGATCCAAACAGTTTCTCGCCATTGTTTTGATGTGTAGAAGCGTTGAAAAGCCTGCTTCACTCAATTAGGTGATTGCATATGGTACAAGGTCCTCCAGAGTTCTCTTTGTCAACTGTGGAAATGTTTTGAACTGAGCAAACCAGAATTTGCCAGCTGCCTTGATTCAAACTACATAGAGTATACAGTACTGTATTTGGATTTTATCATTGGCCTTCAGTTCAACAGGATCATTTTTAATTATATAACTGTCATCCATGGAATCCAGGTTGAAAAGAAATGGATCCCATATCCACATGTACCAAAGACACCTCTCCATGGTAAAAGTATCCTTTGGGAAGACTGAATCGTGAAAAATATATAATTTGAGTAACTTCATAATTACTGAACTGTGAATCGGCCAGCATGTTTCACGCCCCCAACTTCGATTATCTCACACGTGCACCCTAGGTTAAGAACTACTGCTCTAATGAAAGACTTTACATTACTGTACTCTCAGGTACATTGACCCCCTAGCTAGACAAGGGTTTGTTCATAACCCATTCACTCGAACATGGTGACATTGTACAGCATCACTAGGCAGGCGAGGGAAAGTGCTATTCAGAGCAAAGTAGTATCGTCTGACTGACAATGTAATAACGATTTTGCAGTGTTGTGTGGAGCCTCGATATAGCAATAGTATCGCTGTAATAACGAAACATTAGTCGAGGACTTTCTGTACAAATTTAGTTATGAATTCTGTGGCAATTATTGCAAATTCTCCATTAACTGATTCTTACATCCTGTTCATTGCATGAGTGTAGTATTGTAGTATGAGAATTGCCCCCTTTTTCATGCAAATTTCCTTGACTGAACCATCAGATGTGGAGAAAGCAAAGACTACAAAGGGTAAGTAATCAAATCATATGTTTAAGTTTCTTTATTACCAACACCTGCCAAAATACATTATTACATATGATACTTGATCTGATAAAAGTTTAGTCTTGTGAATTATTTTTGTTTAAACTTTTGGACTGTATTAGAAAATTATTTAGTTGATATTTTCCATTTTTCAGCTAAATTTGACTGGCGTGATGCGCTTAATCTTGAAAGCCAGTTGACAGAGGATGAGATTATGATTAGAGATGCCTTCCGTGACTACTGCCAAGAGAAGCTAATGCCACGTATTAGGGATGCAAACAGACATGAAAGTAAGACCATAAGAAAGCTTAAAGCATGAGAAAAATTTGGAGTACAGTATAGTAATCCTATCATTTACAGTGCTCAGTGAACTGATTTCAGCTTTGGTGTGAGTGTAAGTACGTAATTTGGTTTGTCAAAGTAATTGTATTTGTAATAATTTTAAGTCGGGTAAGTACTCATTAATTGACATTCCTACTTCAAGATGCAGTATAATGTAGTTTACAATTCTGTTACAGTTTGTCATTCATAGCATTGATTCTTGTGAATTGTAAATGGTGACTGAAAGGGGTCAAGGTTGGGTCCCCTTTCTCAAGATTTGTATTTCTATAGTAAAGAGTTGAAGTTGTTGATACAAATGTCAATACATATAGGCCTTATGTCTTCATCCTCTCCCCTTTTTGTCCTTACGCGACCCACACACATTATATGCCACACTTGTCATACTACTGTACACAACTGCTATGCATTCTATAAGTTCTGACATACAGTATCTACACTCCACACAAAATGTTGTTATAAAGTTTAGTGATATGAATGATCTCTTTCAGAGTTTGACCCAGAGATTATGTCAGAGATGGGTGATATGGGTGTGCTGGGCCCAACAATTCATGGATATGGATGTGCTGGTGTCTCCTCTGTTGCATATGGCCTTATTGCTCGAGAAGTTGAAAGAGTAGATTCTGCTTACAGGTAAGCTAAACTGACAACTACCTGGGAGTGTAATTTCTAACCCTTAGTTTTTCATCAGAAATCATAAACCTTCCTTCCTGATCTCATTATTTTTATTTATTAACATATTTTTCACATTTTTTCCTTCAAAAAATTACTACTGGTACCATCAAATATAATATTTTCAATTTGTACTACTGCTGTCACATTCCATGTGCTTTTTTGAATCCTTAGGAATACAGGGTAATTGTGGAGCTTTTTAGGAATGTATCATTTACTGTACTGTATTGGAAATAAAATTTACCTTAACTGGAGATTACAGGCTAATGCAGACCAGATGTGACACACTTCAGTATTGTAACCATTGTTGTCATTATCGGCTGTGTGTGCCTGAACTTGTATTTACAGTGTGTTCATATGCAACTCTTTGCAGATCTGCAATGTCTGTCCAGTCATCACTTGTCATGTACCCCATCTGGGACTTTGGTACAGAAGAGCAGAGAACAAAATATCTTCCCAAACTTGGTAAGAGAAATTTAAGACTTGCCACCTTGATATTGCCATGATTTGTGAAGCACATTGGTCCATATGTGGAACAGTCTGGAACAAATGGCAACAATGTAGGCTGTTCATGGTCATCAAAAAAGGACTGTCCATATTTTAAGTGGTTATACTCCATATTAACCACTTTCATATGGGATCCCGTGTGTTGAATAAAATCGTATGGTGTTACTCGAGTAAAACATTAAAAGTGGTGTCTCAATAGTGAAGGGGTTAGGTTATGGGCATTTTTTTTTATAACCTTGATTATCATGTAGAAAGATTTCAGCATATAGAGGAAGGGAATAAAGATGTATGGATAAAGTTTAGAGTTTGAAGAGTAATATACTGTATCTATTTATTGTGAAAATGTCTTGCCAGACTGTGGCCATTATTTTGGTATATTGTTGCTGAAATTTCCATTTTTTTTTTTTTTTTTTTTTTTTTAAGTTCGTCACAACCCTGGCATTTGCATTGTACTATAAAGGTTTTTGTATTCATCTTAGTAACCTTAAACAGGTGAGGTTTGCAAAGGCTATCATTTGCTTTATTGTACAGGTAGTTTGTTTTGATTGTTGTGTTTGTTTGCCTTAACAGCGAAAGGAGAATTAATTGGATGCTTCGGGTTGACTGAGCCTAACCATGGGAGTGATCCAGCTGGTATGGAGACTCGTGCAAAATACGTCCCATCTGATAAAGTTTATCTTCTTAGTGGTTCCAAGACATGGTGAGTACTTGCTTCTAAAGTAAAACCTTTTGGTAGACTTAAAATTTCTGGTGATTCTTAGGTGCTAAGGCAATATCTAAAAACTGTAAATAGAGGTTTCCACTTTCTTGGTGGCTTACCTAAGTGTGGTTTGCATATAGCCTTATTAGGAAAGATATGACTCGGAATGGGTGCTAATTGTTTGCTTCATATGTAAGTTGTGGATATGAGCAGGCATGTGTGGGTACAGTACTTCTGTTTAATTTCTTTGTCTTCTCCAGATACTTTAAAAAAAAAATTGCACCTCTTTTACCTACCATATTGATTTATCCCCATATCATAGGTTTCTGTACCCATTAATCTACTTGGCACAAATCTAATAGATTTAATTCCTTTAAACTTGTTACTTAAGCCAACACCACTTGCTTGCTCTGAGAAACAAGTGTCAAAATATTGTGATGGAGAGAGCGAGTCTACAGGTTGTGTGTTTCTATGGCTATACTGTACTCGCCTATAATATAACGTATCATTTCAGGATCACAAACTCGCCCATCGCAGATGTTGTTGTGGTGTGGGCCAAGTGTGAGGATGGTCACATACGTGGGTTCATCATGGAGAAGGGTATGCCAGGTCTTGATTGCCCCAAGATTGAGGGAAAATTCTCCCTTCGTGCATCAACAACTGGTATGATCCTTATGGATGATGTAGTTGTGCCTGAAGAAAATATGCTACCAGGAGTTAAGGGGCTAAAGGTGAAGTATGGTTTTAATAGTTTCCTGTAGTATTTAAAAAAAAAAAACCTGCAACACATACCTATCTTGGCATCTGTGAGTGCTTTGGTTATGAATCTGGCTACTTAGTACTATAGCAGGAAAGGCCTAATAAGAGTGATATAATATTACTAATTTTAATACTTTACTGTAATTAAATAATGAGGCTTAGAGGATAACTGGACATAACTTGGCCTTTCATTTAAGTTGTATCTCTTGAACATATTTTATGGCTTCCTTTAATTAATGTCTGAGCGCTCATTAAAAGTAGATTATCAGATGTGTTGTGATGTATACATACATGGGTAAGCTGAAACTATATACCTGTACTGTACAAGTAATACTGGTACATTTATGAACTATTGTTGATCAAAGACATCTGAATGTTTTTTAAATCCAGGTTTCAGTCAGTATGAAATTAAAATACTGTATCTATAAAGTAATTTGAATACAGTATTTATATTTTTATTTTTATTTTGTACAGTAAGTGGTAATAATAGTCGTACATCATCAACAGATAAATATGTAAAAAAAAATATGAACAGCTAATAAATCATCCTGTTTATTGAATTAAATTTATGATATTGGTATTGATAAATGAAGCAAAGAACTCCTGTATTTGAAGCTCCTCAAACAGCTGAAGACAATAATACATCAAAGAGATCTGTCATATATGGTTACACTTTTTCAGGGGCCTTTCAGCTGCTTGAACAATGCACGATTCGGTATTGCCTGGGGTGCTCTTGGAGCAGCAGAATTTTGCTTGGATGCTGCACGTAGTTACACATTAGACAGGCAGCAATTTGGTCGTCCTCTGGCAAACAACCAACTCATTCAAAAGAAGATGGCTGATGCTTTGACTGAAATTGCTCTGGGTCTTCAAGGTTGTCTTCAAGTTGGTCGTCTCAAAGAAGAGGGAAAGTAAGCAAATTTGGTACTGTACAGGTTTTTGCTAGTGTCCGACTTTGACTAATGGACAATATAGAAATTTTTCTAATGCTGGACCTGTGACTATTTTTATCTCGGAGGAAAGGAGACTGCAAAGAAAATGCAGTCATAATAATTTAGATTTTTTGGGTCTGTAGGTATACAGTATTAGGTCATATGCTGTAGATTCAATTGTAAGAAAACTTGATAGGAGTCGGTTTCATGCAGTGTTCATTTTCAAATGTAGTTAGAGGGGATAAAGAAGCTAGTGGGGTTGAGGGCCTGAAGGTTTAGGGGTATTAATTTTTTAATAAATTTGTCATGATTCTGGTTGCTTAAATCAGTAAATTACATAAAGTACTAAATCATTGAAGATCAGCTAAAAGGATGTTGAGAAGTTTGGTGAAATGTTCCTGGTAATGGTGTGACCGGAACTCGACACATTATAACAAAGATTTTGGATAAAATTATATTGTTTATTGTTACCTTTAGAACCTTTCTTAAGTGACCAGATTATTGAAAATATCAGTCGAGGGGATACATAGGTCATCTTTTGTATGCTGAAAGACTTTAAACATTTATTTTTTGGAAGTGATTTTAAGCATTGGTGTCACCAGGTCAACACAGTTGTTTAATGGAGCAATGGTCTAAATAATGCTTGTTACCCTATGGAAATGTACTTTTGAGATTTGGTGATGAAAATTTGGTAACTTACTCCATTAAAAAAGATCCTGAATCTAAGAACACGTAAAAAATTATGTGGGTGAAAACTGTGACAATAAATTTTAAAAATAATTTTAATTAGCCTGCTTCTCTATACAATCAGAAAACAAACTTGATAAGTTTTGGCAATATTGTCATAGTTATGTTTTCCCTCTGTGAAAGAAATATTTTGAACATAAATACCATACTAATTCAGTAGCTTGCTGTGGAAGTCAGTGGTCATTGGTCATATTTTCAACTGGAATTGAGGATTGGTTATGCTCTGTCCACCAACCCTCTTGAGCACTACAGTATAGAAGTACACCTCTGGTAGACTAACATCCTACCAAGTGATTGGGTAACCCTTCAGAAGCTAAATGCAAAGAATCTGGATCATACCCTGTAGCTACACCTGTCTGGCCACCTATATAGACATTGGAAAATGCTTGACTATGTACAAATTAAACACTTGGTCTTTTTGTATGAGTGTTATTTTTGTGTGATGTCTTCTCTCATTCTAGGGCCACACCTGAAATGATCAGTCTATTAAAGCGGAACTCTTGTGGGAAGGCACTTGATATTGCCCGTCATGCACGGGATATGCTTGGTGGCAATGGAATTTGTGATGAATACCACGTCATCCGACATGTAATGAATCTGGAAGCAGTGAACACCTATGAAGGTAAGGGAGGCAGACAGGTGTACAATTGGACTGTACTATTATAAGGTGTAATATTTATTCCAATTCATCTTTAATATTGTGTTTTAGTTCAATACTGTACAGTATGTATGTGTACATTTTTATCTTTTTCCGAAATCATGATGAAGAATTTATCCTTTGTTATTCTGATTTATTGTCAGTGACATTATAATTTCAGTGTTCTGGTCATCTATTCCAGGTACACATGATATCCATGCACTCATCTTAGGCCGTGCCATTACTGGACTTCAAGCGTTCAGTGGTAAGTAAGAGTTGGGCTTCCCTGGAGACACTAGTCAGTCTATAGCATTATTGTACATTTTATTAGACCTTTTGTATGGTGGTATTGTGTGACATAGTTCTTCTGTCAGTGTTGAAACAAAATACAGTAGACAATTAGACTCGCTCAGTGCAGCTCTGCGTCAGTTATGTGGCTGATCATTAACTAAAGGTAAGAGGTAGTGTTTGACTCATTATTACATTAGTAGTAGTTTCTCAGGAGAAGTAAAATGTACCAGGTTTCATGTGCGGTATGTTACAGTGGTGAAGGGTACTGAGTATTGTTCATCAAATTATAAATTCTATATTTTATACAGAGAATATATTTGTAAATATAGATAATGAAAGTTTCACACTATTTTATTAAATTTGTGGATAGACATACTTTCCTGGCAGAATTGTGCCATTTGTTAGCAAGACTATATTAAGTATACTGTATCAATCTAGTTCAACAATGAGGATACTATACAGTATGTATCATCATCCTGCCTAGTTGGGCTAAACCCTTTCTTGCTACATGGCCAAGCTAGCATATGTATGAAATTTGTCAGAAGTACATTATTGAATGGAGTACTACTCTAATGAGCATATGTAGTAAGGAAGGAATTAAATCATGTGTTGGAACTATACATATGATCTGTTTAAGGTCTTCAACTTGTTCCAAGAAATAGTACAGTGGGGTATCATTTTAAGCGGATCTCGCCTGAGCAGTTACCGCTTACGTGATTGGTAATATGAGATCACTGATCCCTTCACTGCCAATTTATATGCAATAGGTGACTTAAGAATTATTATGCAAGAGAATGGAGAGAAATTTACTTTTTTCCTCACGGACACAATATTTCTATCTTCTCTCTATTTTCTATTTATTCTTTAATTATGCTTTCTTTCTTTCTCTTTATTTTTCTTTTTACAGTACAGTATTTCTTTACATGATTTCTCATACTTTATCTCTTATTCTTGTTCTTATTTACTTCAACAATTATGGAGGGTATAGATAGGAGGTGGAAGGTGGAGGAGAGAGTGGTAGAGGCAGGGTGTGGTGGGGGAAGGGAGGGTTGATAGTCCCCCCCCACTCACACACACACACACACAAGGGTCACTTGTCCATAACCCCCCTTGCAACTAAGTGTATGTAGCGGGCTGTTGCCTCATTCCCCAGTTTTTTATTTATTCTCGTATTATCATATGATCAGCCTATATAGTGCATGTTTCATTATAAGTAATATAACTTACAGTATTAAATAGAACAAAATATGATATACGAGTATAATTGGACTTTAAAATTAAACGACAAGCTAAATCATTGTTTGTTGATGGTGTGGCGGTACGGAGGGAAGTAAGACTCGGCAGCGGGTGACACAAGTTCTCAGCAATGTTCAACTTAAGGATGGTTTAATGAGTGCTGAGCTCAGCCTGCAACACACTGAACAAACTCAGTGCACACTTAGACAGTTAGGTGGTACCCTACAGGCAGTGTTACCAAGAGTTTAAACTTTGACACCAAGCTCTCATTCCTGTCTATTTTGCTCCTCAACAATTCAAGGAGAATCCAGTGATGATGACCCCACTGCTCTGGGGAGTGATGAAGGTGAAGTTGCTTTACACTTGTCGGTAGAGACAGTAGAGTATCGCATTGTTAACTTCCTGGGCCTTCTTAAAATATATATTTAATAATGTAGATGCAGTTTGTGACGTATCATTTTTGGATGGTTTAGTTGGTTACGCAGTCGTTCTAGAGTAAAGCTCTTGCGAGTCCAGTATAATATTGCGATTTTAACGTGTGTTGAAGGGCATCGCTTGCGTGAATTTCCGATGCACGGAAGTGTACCAGTGCAAAATGAGACCCCCACTGTACTTGATATGTTTTTCTCAAATTTTTGAATATTTTGTTCATATAGCTATTTGGTATCATTCTACTACAGTATATGCATTCTGTATAGCCTGAAGAACAGTGAAAGTATAATATTTCAGGTCTACAAAAGCTTTTATTGACAGTATTCAGAATTTACTGTAAGCAGTTGGGTTTACTATATTTTATAAGTGTTGTGAAGTGAGACTGAAACTCCTCATAGATGATCAACTCCTGACATTCTATTATTGAAGAGCTTCCTCTTAATAACTACTAGGAAATATGCATTGTATGTAACTATATTTACTTATAAATTTGTTGGATATTGTACTGGTTAGTTTCTTATAGACAGTTGACTTTTATTACATACTTCTCATGAATGCCATAATCACTTGTTAGTCATTTTATTATATTGATAGTTGTTGTTTATTTAAGTTTAAAAATCGGTCTCACATGAGATTCTTACTTAACTTATCTGAGCATCAATAAAACTTATTGTATATAATGCCCTTTTTTACTTTCCTTTTATGAGGTGCTAAAACTCCTTTTATGTACAAACAGGTGTAAGGGTTAGCATAGAATATTTTTTTAATAGAGTACATTAATTAGTTTGATTGGTGTTAGTCTACCTTGATTATTATTAGCTCAATTGTGGTTTCATATATCTTCAGGCCTCGTCTCATATAGGTAGTGCATCCGTTATGTCTCCAGACTTTGGCAACATCCATACTTGGCCATTTTAAATCTTCACAAAAAATATTTTAAATTTGGTGCCAATTATGCTGTTTAAACCAGTTTGGTGTTAGTGATTTGTTCCATTACTCCATTTTGCTAATGGTCAAGAAAGTAGAAATATTGCAGTGACTGAATGTTGGTGAGAATGCAAACAAACCTGTGGCTGAACAGAGATTTGGAACAACCTCTTTCTATGGTTTGAAGGCCATTAAGCAGCTGATACTGTAGTTTTATTATGAAACTGTTTCAAACACTGGAATTAAAAAGCTGAAGTATGTAAAAAAAATAGATTTAGTTGCTGGTAAAGTCAATTGTCAGTTTCATACATATGAATGCATGTTGGTGGTGGCCACCACTACCATTACATATACATGTAGCAGGCCAATGTATCCAGACTTTCAAATGTTGTGTAACATATCATTAGTGCTAAAGTGAGCGGGCTAGTGGTGCTGTTATCACTTTACCGTCTTATTTCCTTAGTTTTCTGTTTTGATTGAAACTTTTGTATACATACAGTACAGCATTTATCTTTAGCCAGGGATTAAGATCTCAGGGTCAAAGGTTATTTTGCCTTGTGAAATAAAGCATATATTTAGACTATTCTGACCTACAAGGAAAGGTTTCTGCAAGATGATTGTGTTTTTGCCAAGGACCATCTGTTGTCTGGTTATGTAATGATGTTGCCATTAAACTCCCAAATACCTTACTGAGGATCAGATATGAATTTTTTGAGAACTACAGTAAATGCCACAGGCTTGTGGGTTTGTATAAAAGTATTTCATAGCTATTTTCTCATTACCAAAGACCCATAGCCTTTGAGATCATTCTGGGGCAAAGTCTTGACCAGAAAGATAAATTTATTATTGTACTGGATATAGTTGGTACAGTACTTAGTTCATTAACCTTTTATGTATTGCCTATAACATTTAATGTGTTATTACCAACTTTTTGTTTTTGGTTGATTTGGTTCAGCTAAGATGATTTGCTGAATTATTCATGATTTACAAGGCACTTTACCATTATTCTAAATGAAGAAATTAAGTTAAAATGTGTTTAACATTTAAGCTGGAAGAACATTAAATGTTCTTCTAGTTAGTTAAGGACCATGAAAATTTTTGCTTGTGATTTACAGTTGACACTTTATTGTGCAGGCGATCAGGGACAAACCTTCTGTAGATAATTGATTGTACAGTATATACGTAGTCAGTACAGTACTGTACTGACTACATATTTATTAAAGAATTTCGTTTCTAAAAAAAACTTCATAAATTGAAAGTTGATAAATCGAAGCACATTTTCCCATAAACTCCCATTATAAAAGTAAAGATATTTAGCTATTAAAGAAAAAAACCCTCTAAAAGGCTGTAAAATGCAACAATCTGGTACAAGACCTGTTTTTAACAAAAATTATTAGTGTACACTTAGTATAAGGCAATTTTAAGCATACTGTACTAAGTGAAACACATGCAGTACAATACAGTTATGTTATTGTACTTTTGAGAAACTAGTGCTTGGTTAACTGTTCTGAATCTTGCATTAGTATAATTGTCTTTATAATTTTATAGTTGTGCTTCGTGAAATATTGGAGATTGTCCCCAAAATACAAATGTTTTCTCTAAGCTATGTGGCAGAAGTGACCTATCAAATGAGTGGCACTGCCATCAAAACAAAACCTAGTATCCTGTTTTATATATACAAGGTCCACTGCATGCATTTCAGGCTTAAGCAAAATTCTTGTGCCTAGATTTATCCTTACATAATATGAGTTGCTCGAAGCTTATATAAAGCTGTTGCAGGTACAGTACCCTGTATTGCCTTCTCTTGTTACACTTCTAATACTGGGCTTGTGGGATTATGGGAATGTAATCCGTTTTGCTTATGGTATAAATTAACAATGATTAAGAAGTACTGTGCTGTTAACTGACCAGGTCTGGTACAGGAAGCCCTGAGATGCCTGTAGCAGCACCTCAATGTCTTTTGATGCTGAAAAAATAACCGATTTTTGTTAGTAAACTGAAGTGGGACAAAAGTCTTTTTTCTAACTTTAAAAATACAAAGTATTTACTGTACTGTATTAAACTTTTTACAGTACCCTAAAATATTTCTTTACCTCTATAATAATTATCAAACAGCTCAGGATTCTCCCCCCAATTATTTTGCGGTATTTTTCTTGGTTTTATTTGGGGAACATATCTGTGATTTGGTGTATAGGCTTTGGTATCGAGGCCAGTAATGAAAATTTGAAGCTAGTACAATACAGTATATTCCTACAACAGTCACAATTTAATAGTGATTACTTTTTTTTTCTGTTTAGGACCTATTGGCGGAGTCTGCTCTGTGTTGACAAGCATTATGCACTAGTCCACAAGAGAAGTAAATGGTGGTTTATCACCGCCTAAGGATTGGTACAATGTAAGCATCACGCTCCCACATCTGAGGTTTTACTCCCAAAAATGCAAGTTTGCATGTGCTCTTGTAATGCTCAAGTTATGTGAACAAACTGATGAAAACTCAGAAGCCAAGGCTCTGGTTTATGAAATTGTCCCATATTGATATCATTGGAGCCTTCACAACAGCACAATGCAGGTATGTTTCATCTACTGTACTTGTATTTGCACATGGAGGCATGATAGTCCAATCAATTTGTGGTTTGACGTGGAAAAAAATTGCAGCTATTTTGTTTTCTCACTGAATCCAGCTATTATTGTAGAACACATCAAATATGTATGAAGGTTAATGTAGGGGGGGTGGCATTTTTTTTATTTACTTTATTTGGCATATTAAAAAAAAAATTGTGGCGGCCACGATTCAATTTTACTCTAGTAGACGACACATTTGCACATTCATTAGCAAGTCTAATTCACAAAACTATATTACCAAACATGTACTTCAACTGCAATGTATGAAAAATGGTTATTGGATACATGCCTACAATATTGATCAAAATATGTAATCAAATTTCAAGTTGGCAGTTCGGTAACTATTCAGGCAACCCCGAGTAACATTTCTACAGCATATTTTGAATGTCCAGATGGGACTGAATACTTTGTATTGGATATTTGTTTAATTGGCAACTCAACTCGTGCGTTATCTTTGTCACAAGATTTGTGCCTCATGGTCAGTTACCCGCCAACTACTATAATGGATGCATTTTTTACCTCCATTCAGTACAGTATTTTATAGTTCTTTTGATGATAAGAGATATTTTATGTAGTAGCTATCAGATAGAAATATGATATAAAAGTGCCTTCAAGTAAGAATTGCATGTTGCAAGTGCATGTCATCATCACTTTCTGCTCTTTGTGGGCTGTGCGCAGCAGCTTCGAACAAAACATCATTCATTACTCCGCACTGCTCTTCAACACTTCAGACAACTCTCCAACCATGTCGGCACACTTGTTTCCACCACCCTCTCCCTGAATATAACCCATGTACACCTGTCCCCGTTCCTCCTTGACTCCTCCCTCTTCTGCTTCAAGTCCTGCATTACCGTGCAATCTGGGTGAATGAATACACCCCGAGATACCTCGCTCCTTGCTAAGTTTTTTGCCTGCCGAATAACCCCCCATTTCTCCTCCTTGCTCACTAGTGTGGTCGTGAGGGGGCGAGGCTTATCCCCCTGCTTTTGTCCCAGCCTCCTCACATCCTGTGGGGTTGATGGCATCTTCAGAACCTCTGTACAAACTTTCTGAAACTGCATCTTATCGTGTGTTACACTCTCAGTTCCCTCCGCCTGGCTCTCGGGGACTCCCAAAAACTATTACATTGTTCCTGCGCTGGAAACGTTCCCGTTGTTCCTCCTCTCCCCTGACAGTAGGTCCGTTAATTTTCATTTCTTCGACACACTTCTTCAGAGTCCCTAGCTGCTGTAGAACCTGTTCTGATCCTGCATTACTCTCCACCACCCCCTGTGGCCTTGCCTCTTAGCAACCACCTCCATTCTAATGGCTACTTCCTCAGTCTTAGCAAGGATCTCTTTCCCAACTTGCTCTAGTTTGGCAACCAGCAGGGCTTCAGCTTCATCTAGTTTCGTCCCGAGGGAACTTGTTCCCATATGGCTTGCAATCGCCTCTTTCGCCTTGACTATGCAGTCAGGGCAATACCTGTACCAGCAACAGCCTTTATGCTTTGCGGCAGTTAGCATCTTCCTAAACGTTGCATTAGTCAGGCCTGTATCCTCCATATCCGACGTCCCCCTGCAGTAATCTCATATACTCATGGTTGCTGTTGTTGTGGGGTGGGGGGCAGACTGTGTATAGATCTACACCTATTTAGAAATAAAGAGAGAAAAAAATGAACAGTACTTAGTTGCTCCCCTGTTGCCTATAGAGTTGTCTTCTGCTATCACTGTGTACACTGTATCTCCCTGTGAATGGTGTATTGTAGGCACAGTTTCAGTCCATGAGAAAGCACACAAACAAAATAAAATTTAAAGTCTCTGTGGCACCTATGACATGACTTGGTCTCTGCTGGCAGTGGTGCCTTACCAGCTTGCTTGCCAGTTTGCATTCACTTTTAAGTTATTTACAACCTCTTCCCTGGTCACTGATGACACTATGAACTGATTTACCTAAAACCACAGTACTACACTCCCTGGTTGGCCTTCATCACAACCGTGACCACAACTCCGTAAAAAAAAAATAAAAGCTTTGTCATATGGCAGTTTGTAGGCCTCCTGACCTGGGTTGTACCTCCAACTCGGTGGAAATTGAGTTTTCAAAAATACAATCGTGTCTAACATTTAAAATCCTACATCAATTTACACTTGTTTATCACTAAGACGATCTTGATGTTCTTATGTAATCACTGTCCAATTCCTGCTACTCAACATCGCAGGCCAGAGTGCCGAACACGCTTTGTTACAGAGACGCAACACTACCCGACCCGCTCGCATATTTCACATCCTAATGCTACCCTGGGGGGATTAGGTTATCATTTATGTTAATCTTATGATGAAATATGGTGGGGGCTAATCTTCAGGTCATCTATTATTATTATTATTGTTATACTGTATAGGCTTAAATCACGACAGGTAGGCAAAATTGGGTGTTTTTTGTGTACTGTACATCCGTGGATCACCTGAAGATTAGACCCCCCCCCTGTTTATATCACCCTACCCTAATGGCTAACCTAATGTAACTTAACCTAGCCTCCCCTACCTTACCTTAATCTAACCTAACCCAACCCATACCCTAAGGCAGCATTAGGGTTGTGGGGTTCAGGATATTTGGTTCACACTCAGGATGGATTGGAGAAAGGAAACTCACAATGTGCTCTCTATATACATGTTATATTGGATGTATAATGCAGCTTGGTGCTGGGAAGGCAGCATGGTTACAAGCGTGATGTAGAGAGAACTGGTTGGTGAGGACGCTCAGAGAAGGACAGCTTGTGGGTCGCCATGCTCGCCAGCGGGAGAGAGGACCGCCAGGCAGGCGGAGGAGCGAAGGAAGGCCGCCAGGCAGCGGCGGAGGAGGAGGTGTTGCTGGCTGCGGCTGTAGGTAGAGAGAGAGATCACCACGAGGTGAGGTCTTAAATAGCGGGGGTAGGCGTGGCTTAGCAGTTGACCCCTGCTCCGTGATGTATGGCGGCGCTGGTTGACCTAGACCACGAGGCATACACTGGGGAATTGGTGGGGTCGGCTAGGCAGCGACAAACAGCGTTTGTAGGGGAGGATTCCACTACAATACTCCCCCTTCCCTCCAGGCGGTGGAGGAGACTTGTTGTCTGCAGAGTTGCTTAACACATGTGAGGCAGAACGGGCGGTGCATGCCTCATGTGAGACAACGGCGATGGCGTGGATGAGCCGGTCGCTGGATACAACTGTCTATATACACACAATCTGTGGGAGAAGAGAGGGAGAAAAAGGGTGTGTGGAGGTGATGAATGTTGTGCTTCCCTCACGGCAGGTACAGAGTCGCCAGATGCGCCTGCTGGGGTGCGTGGGCCTGGGTCAGGAGCAGGGGCTGCGTCAGCAGAAGCGGATGAGGGCTCGTGACAGCAGCTGGGTCCACAACAGCAGCAGGGTGCAGGACATTAGCAGGGAGTACCTGAGGGAGAAAAGAGGGGTGTGTGGGTCCGCACTCAGGAACAGAGGCCGCATCAGGGGCGGCAGGGGTTACTGCTGGGCCGGGGTCGGCGTCTGAGGCAGGACGGGTGTGCTGGGGTCGGTAGGACGTGGTGCTTGGGGCAGGAAGAGGAGCTGGTGTCTGCTTAGAGTAGCAGAGCTGCTCTAGGGTGTCTAACCTGCGGTGTAGAGACAGTAGCTGTAGAGCCGATGAGAGCTGCTTCTGGGTGGATAAGCCAGTCTTCCATGTTGCTTGAAGACTGGGAGCGTGATCAGTTTCTCCTCCATCCTGTGTGAGTGCTAATCTCCGGGGGTCACCATTTGTGGGGTTCAGGATATTTGGTTCACACTCAGGATGGGTTGGAGAAAGGAAACTCACAATGTGCTCTCTATATACATGTTATATTGGATGTATAATGCAGCTTGGTGCTGGGAAGGCAGCATGGTTACAAGCGTGATGTAGAGAGAGCTGGTTGGTGAGGACACTCAGAGAAGGACAGCTTGTGGGTCGCCATGCTCGCCAGCGGGAGAGAGGACCGCCAGGCAGGCGGAGGAGCGACGGAAGGCCGCCAGGCAGCGGCGGAGGAGGTGGTGTTGCTGGCTGCGGCTGTAGGTAGAGAGAGAGATCACCACGAGGTGAGGTCTTAAATAGCGGGGGTAGGCGTGGCTTAGCAGTTGACCCCCACTCCGTGATGTATGGCGGCGCTGGTTGACCTAGACCACGAGGCATACACTGGGGAATTGGTGGGGTCGGCTAGGCAGCGACAAACAGCGTTTGTAGGGGAGGATTCCACTACAGGGTATTTAATCATCAGGTGAAATAAGATGGGGGGGGGAGCCTAATCTTCAGGAGATACCCATTTTTATGTGTGGGCTGCCATTCATTTGTCCAACCTTAGGACGGAAATTGTCGTTCTGGGTAACATAAAAGTTTCAACTGAATTACTTCTTTCTTGTTTTGCAATTCAGAGCATTTGTTTTATGGGCAGAGGAGGCAAGAGAGTTGTCGCTATTCTTGACATTGTACTTGATGGAATTTGTCATCGTGTTCAAATGGTTTTTATTGTACTCATGGGAATCCTCATACGCCTGGGGTTGAGATATCTTACTTACCACATGAGTCTCTTATTAGACTCAGGGGATTGGTTTTGTGCTCTCCGGCATATTATATAGCACAGTATCTCGCTTCTAGGTCGTTTGCGAGGGAAACGTCACAGAATAAAAATGTCTTAGATTTGTATAACCATTGTATGGAAAGAAAAAAAATCACGGTATATGGTTGGTGGCAAAAAATATACGATAGCTTAGATTTTTTCTAGTTTTCTGATTTTCAACTCACCATATCTCGGTTATGGATAAAATGCGAGAAAAGTGTCAGAAAAAAATCGTCTTGTTTTTTGTCTGAACTTATTAATAAACAAAACCCCGCCATTTCTCGCCACCCCTTAGTATTTATATACGAGTTTTCTGATTTTCAGCTCCCTTTATTTCGGTTATGGATATAATGCGCCAAAAGTGT